TCCCTCCTGCAGTATGTGACTGGAAAGTATTTATTACCAAGCAACTGCCGCGTTCACTTTGAATGGGATGAGCCACAGCTCGTAGGAGAGACAATGACTTTTACCGTGAAGGTACACAGTGTGAAACTTTCTCAACTGTGAAAGTACAAATTACCATGAAAATGATAGGCGCCTCAAACGCTACTTATTCTTGAATAACTAAAATGTTATATCGATTCTGCTATATGACTCCTTGAAACTCCTTGATACGTTTAATTTATATATTTACACTTCGAAATGTTCTTTTACAGTTCTATCAACGCAACGGCCAACCGTATCCAATCTGCGACAAGGACAATTTAATCGTAGAAGTCACAGAAGGAACGCGAAGGGTGGCTACCCTGATAGAGTTGGGAGGCACCGACCCCTTAGCTGCAAACACCGCAGTGGTCAAGTTTACTGTCCGGCATGCTGGACAATATCGAATAGCCGTACTTATTGGTTCGTGTCACGTACACGGAAGCCCATTTCTTAAGAATTTTCTTCCCGGTATGTTTACACAATCGGTGACCAGCCGTTGAAAACTTTCAAGAGCCGCGAAAAACCAAACGCCTAGAATTGTTTGATTTTTCTAGGTCCTCCGGATCCAAACAAGACCGTCTTCGTACGTCAAAGTTCTACGGTAGTTTGTACAGCTGGAATTGCACACTCTATGACGATAGAGCCACGAGATGAATACGATAATTTGTGTATATTTAGAAACGGCGATAGTCCTACGGAAGGATACCAAATCAATATTACTCAGGCAAGTGAACAATTGATAGATTGGTGGTGACTGGTTCTATAATTGTTCTTATTATAGATTGGCAATGCAGCGGATAAATCATCGGTAACCAATTGTAGTATACAACTCGATTATGGCTCTCCAATTCAAAGGATTCGATTGAAAGTTAGCTTTCCGAAGGGTGGTTGTTATCATGCAACAGTCAGTTTAGCTGGACTACAATTGCATAACGGGGATTTTGACATCATTGTACTCGAAAGTACGAATAATTTCATCGGGAAATGATATTATGAAGAATGTATTCTTTTAATGATATTATCGTCACAGGTGATGTTGCAAGGATGGTACACCACAACGTGGCCTCAAAAGACCCCGATATTTGTTATGCTGCGAAATTATTGGGTATGCAAGGCGAAAAGTTTTCAAAACCGAAAAAAGTTTTCTGTTTCATTTCACCCAAGCAGCTTACGATCAAGGAATATTTATTGAGAATAATTCCGAAAAGACTAGTTACTTTCAGGCTTTGTCCATCTACTAAAGTAAGTTCAGGGGTTAAAATGAAAAAATAAAGTTTCATTTTATACTGTATAATAACTCAAAGCCATATCTTTCAGTTCCATTTTGATTGTTCGAATAATCAGTACGATGGTTACGATTCATTTTCTATCGACGATGGATGTCAACCACCTGTCGAATTAATTTCTTTGTACCGGGATATAATAGCCGCTACGTTTACGTTGTTCCTTTTGAAAAATATAGGGGGAAGCGAAACATTCGCTGACAAGCAAGATTTCTTTTATCACGAAGTTCGAAAGCATCATCAGAAACATTATCATGAAAAGCTTTCGATGAAAGTTCAACGGGACAAATTATTGGAGTCGGTAAATATTAAATAGTAACTTAATTAATTCGTATTGTATTCAAGTACTTATATTAACATTTCTTCTTTGAAGTCTATGAAAGCCACCAAAGGATTTTCCGTGAGCGATTGGTGCCGGAATTTCGAAATTACCTTTCAAGGGGAACAGGGTATGCCTCGTTCGTGAAACGGTCTTATTTTATTTAAAACAATTTTAATTTTTATGTTGTATTCCAGGTGTTGATTGGGGAGGTGTAAGGCGAGAATGGTTCGAACTAATTTGTGCGGCTCTATTCGATTCAGGAAACGGCTTATTCGCGTCCTTTGGAGAATCACAACAAGCTTTAGTACATCCTAATAGTAAACGGCCTCAACACCTTAAACTAAAACACTACGAGTTTGCAGGAAGAATCGTGGGAAAATGCCTATATGAATCCGCGCTTGGTGGCTCCTATCGCCAATTAGTGCGTGCAAGATTCACAAGATCATTTCTTGCACAAATCATAGGCCTCAGAGTGCACTATAAAGTAAGTATATACTAATCTCTTCCATATCCATTGTTGCTATTTACTATATTTATTTTTCTGCCATAGTATTTCGAGCAAGATGATCCGGACCTATACCTGAGCAAGATAAAATATATTCTTGAGAACGATGTTGAGGAAATGGAATTGTATTTTGTAGAAGAAGAGTACGATAAAGACGGTCAATTATTAAAAGTACGATCACAAGTTTCCATTCTTGTACATACAACAGTTTTCTTACTACATTACGCTCGTTATAGGTAGCTGAACTAATCCCAGGTGGTAGCAAGATCCGAGTCACCAACGACACAAAACTGCGTTATTTGGATGCACTGGCGCAACATAGACTCGCCAGTTCTATACGAAACGAAGTAGAACATTTTTTAAGGGGCCTGAACGAGCTAATCCCCGATAACCTTTTAGGCATATTTGATGAAAATGAACTGGAAGTATGTGATCTTGCAAGTTTTTCCATTTGATGTTTTTTTGTTTTCTTTATCGAACATTTGATTTATTATAGTTGTTACTGTGTGGGACTGGAGAATACAGCGTTGCAGATCTACGCGCCCATCATATAGCTAATGGAAGTACTCCAGAGTTTCTCAGAGTTCTCGATTGGTTTTGGACAGCAGTTAGTAACTTCACGCGGGAAGAGATGGCCCGATTATTGCAATTCACTACAGGTTGCTCGCAGTTACCACCCGGTGGATTTCAACAACTAAGCCCACGATTTCAGATCACAGCAGCACCAACATTTGCTAATTTGCCTACAGCGCACACTTGGTAAGTTTCTTGCTTCTATAGCATTAATTTTCATAGTAATCATTATATATTTTTCTTATTACAGCTTTAATCAACTCTGCTTACCCGATTACGAATGTTACGATCACTTTGAACGTGCTTTATTATTAGCGATTAGCGAGGGTACCGAAGGTTTTGGTATGATTTAAACGAGATTATTTATCCACTAATTTCTAGTCTTATCCTAACAACGATGTTTAATTTTTCTTCTATATTATTAACATAGTTTTACTTAAGAAGAAAAGATAATGTAATTTTCTCTAAATGAGAAAACCACTTTTATTGCACACTTTGATACGTGACTTAGAGATTATTAAAATTATCCTTTATTGTGTTTTGCTAAACGACTATCAAAGAACAATCCAATGTTTTAAAACATAAAAGATCAACGATATATGTACTGATATTTTTACTGGCTTGCGGTAACGTTTTTATAAAGAGGTGATACAAAGAGCAATCTTACAGGAACATCTAAATTGCTCAATTTACTGTATCAAGGTTTGTTGTAGTATAAAAGTATTGTAAATTTTAATACTCATAAAAGTAAGTACGTTCCTCAAGCCATGAGATTCGACATATTCAGCTCTACAGTTCTGTCGAAATGCGATGAAATAAATTTCTTTCCTTTACGTAATTGCTGCAATAGATGAAAATAGCGCAAATTCAGTAAAATCTGAAAAAATTGTTATTCATTTTCTTCTTTTAAGTTTCTTATATGCAATATTAAAATAATACATACTACTCGACCTCTATCTTTTTATAGATTTAGTATCATTCACACCTTCTTTTTTAATTACCGCGTACGTTATCTCATTTGGAATTTGTTTGTAAAAAATAGCAAGTCAGCGAGTACGATCAAATCCAGTCTCAGAATCGTAGAACAGCATTATTTGTTGTCGCGATTAATATATGCAATAACAGATGTTTTAGAACGACTAGCGAAAGTTACATACTACACCTACCGATGTACTCAGAAACAAGTAAAACGATTTTGTGATAACAAGAGCGAATCTTCCAACCGAAATATGTGCCGTCTCTTCGCTTCAAGTAAGATACAAAAATGAATCCATCGTAATGGTAAAAGTAGAAAAATGAGGATACCACAGAGATGTTGTTATCAAACGAAACGAAAAAATCATAATTTTATCTTGTACTTAAGTACACAATAATGAGAAATGTGATCAGACACGTCGTATTTGTGTCACTCGTACGTGGTTACTTAGATTTTAACGGTCTACTGTAACATGTTTGGAAAAAAATAATGTACCGTGGGCATCGCTTTAATTTCTCCTTGTTTTCTCTTTGCTGAAACTACACACGCGTAGACATTATGTAAAATGTGGCTTAGACACGATTACTTGTACATATACATTTATCGATTATCCAATGCATTTGTTGTTATTGCTGTTATTTCGTAGTTGAACAAAAAATTAATCTCTATGGAAAATTATCTAACGCTCAGCAGTGCTGACGGTACCTTATTTTGATCACTTTATCATGTTACGCGGAAAAGAAACATGTAAAATATAGATTAAAAAAGTAAAACAGTATCTATATTTATTTATTCTATTTATCCCAAGTTTTGTCATCGCATCAAGTTTTAATCGCTAATGTGTCTCTGATTATCATAGAGGATTATTGATCATTTTCTTCAATTTGAAATATTTCACGTTTCATAAAGACGCTCGTATCAGAAAGTATATCGAATAAAAAAAAAATATACATAAATAAATAAATAAAAATAAAATTTTGTTAATATATGAGTACCCGTGAATTTGCTGTTGCTTAGAAACTGTCTCCCTCAATCTTCTATCTTCTCGATCCCATACAACTCTCCCCCTTCCTCAATTTCCATTTAACTCCCTTCCCACCAGTACCACCACTTTTTCATCAAACAATCATTGAACCGGAAGTTCTACTTTTCAAATTCTTTGTTTCAACAAGAAACTCAAAGTGTAGAAGATAAACGCTCAATTGGCTGTAGCTGAAATTTCATTAATCATAATTATACATTTAAGTAAATGCCAAATAAACTTTGTCTTTGTATTACCTTTTAAGAAGTCAACACTGGACCTGTAGATGATAACAGGGTACGTAAAATGGCTCTGGGTGCACGTACAACGCTACCAGCAAGCTGAAGCATTCTGCTACTCCAACCCCCCTCTTGAGACTGCCGTATTAGACGTTCTCTCAATTCGTTCAATTCCGCTCTTAAATGATTCACAGTGAGGGAACAATTTGATAGCTAGTATTTACCACCAGGCACAGAGGATCGTTAAAACTTACAATTGGGAAATGCACGATGACTCTACGCGACGCAAGGTTGTTTCTCGGTCGGCTAGTTGAGCTTCCAAGAAAACTGTGCGCAAATGTAGAGATCTTCCTGTTTCTTCTGATGATTTTAAGCGTTTCTCTAATTTCGATTTCTCTTCCTCTTTGCTTTTCAATTCCCTGCAAATGGAACATTTGTCAATAGAATATCAATTAGGAACATTTACATCCACGAAATTTACTTTGCGTATTGCTGTATTTGTTGCTTTAAAGATTCAACCAGTCCAATCTGCGTAGCTAATTTCATCTGCAATTCCTCACCAACTGATTCTGCTTTGTCCGCTCTCGCTCCTCGTTCAATAGCTAGAGTTTCGCTGGCTGTTACCTGCAAAAATTATTCAACGTTGTAATCAATACAGTTTATCAGATACGAAAGGGTACAATCGATAAGTAGGCAACCGCGGCTGCTAGACGGTATTATTGCGATTATCGTTTTAACTTTACACGTGCAAGAATTAATAGGTCAACTAAGTATCGATCCCTTTTTCTTAGTACGGAAGGAATACTATATGTTATTGAGTCACCGATGAAACAGAAAAGATATGACTCAACCATACGGTATATCCTTCCGTGCGTTGACCTATTCGCAAGTATGGTCGCGTGCAACTTAAGGTTCCCTTAGTTGAAAAGAAGTATAGCATTCGCCTTGTTAATCCATATTCTTTATATATATATGTATATATAAATAGGAGATTCCTCTAGGTTCTCCCAAAATCAAAAACAAGTGATGGGAGGCTCCTCCCCTGAAGAATTCATTTCTTGTTTCGGAAGGGTGAAAGGGTGACTCATTCTTTCATAGAAAACGCTAGAAATCCGCATGGAACTGAGAGTTCACCCTCTGGAGACTCGTCTCCGACGAACACAATGAGTCACCGAGTAAAATCAATTTTTTACAAGACATGAACTTAATACAATATGAACCTTTTCTAGAAGTATCTTTTTATCTTCGCGTAATTTCAACAATTTTTCTCTATCCTTCGAAAGCTGTTCGTCGAGTGACTGCAGTTGAGTTTGCACGGTAAGCAATTCATTTCGCACGTTCTCCGCCGTGACCAACCTCTCCTCGGATAACTCGCTCAGACGCCTGATCTCTCCCTCCATTTTCTCAGTCTCCTGTAATAAACGGTAACCCAGTTCGTGAAAACGTATTCACCCCGCGTTGAACTTCGCATGTGCCTAAAAGTAACTAGAGGAGGATTCCTGGTTTTATCTATGACGTTGTTGTTGTCGCGATACGATACAGCTTCTTCTTTCGCTTCACAATTAGCCGCTGGACCGATGCCAACTTCTCGCTTGCTTGTACGGTATATACTAATTAATGGCTCGCTACTGACGCCCATGAGTATCATCGTATCGTGTAATCGTATCAAATCAATTCATATACATATGAATATACAAAATATTCTTATTACCTTATCTTTAATTTCTAATTATTACTAACAACAATAGCAAACAAAAATGTCAGGGCACCGTATGGAAACTCTGAAATTTGAAAAAACTTTAAACGGACTAGAATATTTCACAGCATGAAAGAAGTATCATGGCGCATTATCAAAATTCTTGGCAACATATATTTGTTTGGCTAAAGAATGCCAAAAATTTCACTGTCTCAACTATGATATTTGACGAGCCGAAACTCGTGTCGCGAGCTCTTACGCTAGCGTCATCCCCCTAGTTAGATACACGTCATTGAACTCTGCTGTTCATCGCCCGCAAGGCGTTAGGCATCTTTCTATAGTTCCATCACCTATCGCAACGTTGCTGTTGCAAAAACTCAAATACATCTAATTAGTTAATTCCTCTTTAAGAAGGTACTAATAAAATTACATATTAAAAATTTACCGTTTTCAGTGCATCCTTTTCTTTCAACGTTTCATCGAACTGAATTCTAACGTGACGAACCTCGTTAGTTAGCTTACAGACGCGGCCATTCTCTGTATCGAGCAACCGACGCAATACGATGATCTGCAGATGAAGATTTTTCACTTGCTGATTCAAATTGTCGATCGTTCGACGAAAATCCAAGATTTCCTTGCGTCTACGCCTCCAGGCGTTCAGCATAAGCACGTGGCACACCAAATTCGCAGCCTTTTCTGGATTCTGAAAGAATCGTGAGCCCCCTTCCTCGGACACGAAACCATCCATCCAATTTTTAATACCGACAGTAATCCCGATGTCGTTACCAGCAATGTCTTTAACTTTATCACCTTCGTCGATTCTCTCCGTGGTCGAACTACTATTTGATCTAAGTTTACAAAATTAGAATCAAAATATTTTTAAGTAGATCCACGGGGCAAATAAAGATTCTAGAATAAAAGATTCTGAATCTTTTCAACCGGGGATTTACCTGAGGTCACCGGTCTCAGCCTCCATTATCGACGGTGAAAGATCACTCATGGACAAGCTTTTTCTGCAGCATGGCGTACCAATCACGCAGAAGATTGAGTTACATGTTGAATTATCTGGACAACTTTTGGCCGTGTTAATCGGAGATGTACGACTTATCGTTGTTAAGCCAGTCAATCTGAAGGAGGTCTTCGGTGGGCGATAGTAAGAACCGGGTTTCTGACATCGTATAGGGAGTTGGGAACACTTTTGAAATTTACGTTGGATGCATCGCGCCAATCTCTTCTCGGCGAGAAAATGATTTGATTCTTCCCTGCTGCCCTTCGGAGCATTCAGGGAAGATATACTTTTCGTTATGATTGCAGTTTCTGGCATCGTTTATAGCATTCACGAGTAAACTCTTCAGTAAAGTAACAAATGTTATTACTTTTCGTCATGGAGACGAAACGCGTATGACAAAACAGAATCATCGCGCTCATATGTATCAGGGGTAAGTATTTATAAGGGGAAGAACCTCCCACCAGTTGTCTTCAGTTTTTTGGTGAACCCAAAGAGAAACCGGAAGAGCCGAGGGAAAGCCTAACCTAGAACTTCCTATAGTCGTATATACATACACGAAGAAGAGGGATAAATATGGGAGAATGGGGGATAATCCTTTCTCTACATCTCCTCTTAACCAATGTAAGTCTAATAAGCCTCACTAACGATATTCTTTCAACATTTTTACCTCTACTTACTAATTTATTAATAATTATTAAAATAGTGTTTGATACGCCATCTGTGGAACGCGTCATACAATGCATTTTTCTAAAATTCCGTATGCGATTAATATATTCTAATTTTATGTCTTGATTATTATACGTTGCGTTTGTATCTTTAATTTTTTAAATCCTTTTTATCAATCTTGCAGCTCTTGTTTAATGGATTTGATATATGATTATTCGAATCGTGACTATATGATTTGAATTTGCTGTTTCGTGGAATTGCATAAATCGAGTACACCTACGACGATGTGCGAGAAATGATTAGAACTTATATAATATATAGATCTGATTTACGATGTAATCTCAAACTGGCAGCTAATTATACTTGCGTCGCAAAACACTTCACAAGCTAGGAATTAGGTAAAATATCAATTTATTTGAAAATTAATAGTAGAATTTCCAGAAAATGAAGTTTGGAGAATTTCAAGTTAATTTTCGGATCAATTACACGTATTATCCATTATATCATATATTAACAAATATGTCATATAATCCTTAGCATTATACTAATCAATATATATTTAACATAATTTATCATTATTATTCTAATTTTGCAGAATAAAACAAAATAATGTGACGTGTCTGCATGAGTCATCCTGTGCCAAGCACCCAAGTAGAACCAAACTACCTACGTCCCTGAATTTTAATCTACAGACGATAAATTCGATAAATCATAAATATGTTCAGATTTATCTTTGATTGATTAGTTTCAAATTAATTGTAGGAGATCCGAAATATAAGACGAATAAGACAGAAATGATATTTGTACCAAAAATTAGATCGACAATAGGAGGAGAAACAAGTCTTGTAAAATATAGAAAGAATTCGACGTCATTCAACACACGAATTTCGAGGAAGTATCGTAATATTCATATATTACACATATTGATACATGTTCGTTCCATTTAGTAACTGTGAATGTAGATTCGTCGAAATACGTGTAGTACTTGCGCGTATCTACGGAGCATATGTATTACTTTGCTCCTACCGTTGAAACTAACGAACAGGTCAGTATCAATGCAAAGTCCGAACGAAATGGTGTGCTGCATTAAGTCTTGTTTCTAGTCACAACCATGCACGATTTTATATCGTGTACGGATGGTGTGCGCAGCAGTGTTCTGTAATTAAACAATCTGAACGAAGAATCATCGTATATTTTTACAATTATTTTGCACAACGTGCATTTAGTTTCTTTAAGAAACTTTGACAAGACATTTTTACTGTTAAGGAAAACAACACCTAGTGCGTGTACTTTCAGATTCGAAAGTGCCTTACTATGTTGATCGAGTTGCAGGCAAGTCTTTCTCGTCACATTGTCCTACGATAGTTTAATTATAGCTGCACGGCTCGTACGGACCTAGGCTTTCCCAAAATAATGATTGGATCAGCGTGGCATCCCTCCTCGCCCTCTACTCTCGTTTCTCTTCCCTTGGGACACTTGTGTGCAGTGTTTCTGGAAGTATACCTGTGAACAGCTGTCCAATAGTTGAATACGAAACTTCTTTGCATACTCGTTACCCTACAGTTCATCTTTTAATAGTGTTAATCATAAGTTACGCCTAACTCGTTGTGCGTCAATCATCCTATGTATTGCGACATAAACATTTTCCGCCAAGATGTGTGATACACATTTTTGAATGCACAGTATTATCGACAAGAAATAAATTCTTAAGTCGATCTTTCATCCTACATTATCGTTTCGTTTATTCCTAGGTATTTATTACTTCACAACCACTAATAAATGCGCGCGAAATATTTTTATCTGTGAAGCTACGAAGTTTCTGTGAAGTGTATATAGATCATGTGGTCGTCACGTTTTCTCTTTTCAAAGATCTTCAAAACATTTTAAAAAATACTTGTAACTTTTAACTATTCGAATAAAAATTGTTAAAATTACCATAGAGATAATATTTTAGATGGCTACTGTTCAGTGTTCTAACCACTAAGAGCCATGGAACAATTCCATGGAATGAGCGATGGAAATATAAATATAAGTGATGTCAGTAAGTATTAACAATTTTATTATGTCTTCCTATAGAATGTATTTTAAATATCATAATAATTTCACAGTTGAAGTCATCCAAACAGATCCTAAATTTGTGGAGGCTAGTGGAAGGGAGGAGCAATTATCAGTGGAAATGAATATTGGACGACCATTGCAGTATGTTGAAATAATAGAACAACCAGCAAGCAAAGCTTTACGCTTTCGCTATGAATGCGAGGGCAGATCAGCTGGTAGTATACCCGGTGTAAATAGTACACCGGAAAACAAAACATTTCCTAGTATAAGGGTAAGTAGTAAGAATCGAAAGGTAAGATCTCTGTCTTTGATTGTCTTTAATAGATCTATTAATTATAGATAGTAGGATACAAAGGCCGTGCTGTAGTTGTAGTATCGTGTGTAACAAAAGATCAACCGTACAGACCTCATCCTCATAATCTTGTTGGGAAAGAAGCATGTAAACGAGGTGTTTGTACAGTTGAAGTATCATCAGAAAATATGACGGTCACATTTGCAAATCTCGGTATTCAATGTGTTAAGAAAAAAGATATCGAAGAGGCACTTAGAATAAGAGAAGAAATTCGTGTTGATCCCTTTCGAAGTAAGTTAAAAATTTAATGCATTTGAAACGACATATTTAACAGAAACAAAATTTACATTTTCCTTCTAGCTGGTTTCGAACACAAAAGACAACCTACCAGCATTGATTTAAATGCTGTAAGATTATGTTTTCAAGTTTTCCTAGAAGGATCACAAAAGGGAAAGTTTAACATCCAATTACCACCGGTTGTATCTGACCCTATATTTGATAAAAGTAAGCTAATTATGTTTTACATTTATTTTTCAAGCAATCAGTTCTTTAACTGTACCTAATTATTTTAGAGGCAATGTCAGATCTTGTAATATGCAAGCTCAGTCATTGCAGTGCATCAGTTGCTGGTGGTATGGAAATGATTTTATTATGTGAAAAGGTCGCTAAAGAAGATATACAAGTTAGATTTTTCGAGGAGAAAGATGGGCAAGTGGTTTGGGAAGGATTTGGTGATTTTCAACCTACTCATGTACATAAACAAGTACGAATTATATTTAATAACTTTGATATATATAATCGTGTATTAAACACATGTTAATTTTAAATTTAATCTATATTAATAGACAGCAATCGCGTTCAGAACACCCACCTATCGCATACAACAGGTCGATCAACCAGTCCAGGTATACATCCAATTGAAAAGACCGTCGGATGGCGCAACAAGTGAACCGTTACCATTTCAGATGTTACCTCTTGGTGCAGGTAGGCCTGCTTTCTGGTCTTTACGGAAAGCATTTGCCAGGAAGAAAACAGATTATAGTACATTTGGTAAAATTTTAGCAACCGAATCGGCGTTGCTATCAAACGTTACGCCGAAACTTGCGCGAAACATCGACGAATTTAATAACAATGATTTCAGTATAAAAAAATCGAATAACAAGATTTCTGCGTTACGCGCTTTAAATGATTTATATAATGTAAAAAACACGTTAGATTCTTGTAATGGAAGTACCGAAGTCGCTCAAAATAATGCACAAAATATGGATCACACAAAAAGTACAATTATAGATTACGAGAACAACGAAGTACCGTTTCATACAGAAAAAACTATGGAAAATGAGCAAATAAATAAGATATACAAAATTGACAGCAACTATATGAACAAAGATATGGATAATACTAATTCAGGAACTTTAACTCGTACTAAATCCGATAGTACCGATAATGATATATTAAGAAATTCAGAGATATCCAAAAACAAATCTGATTGGTTTGATTATTCTGAAGTAGGAAAATGGGTACAGAAAGGTCAAATGTGTCTGAAGGAAAAGGATAACGAGGCAGATTTTAAAACTGAAATGACAGACGATTGCAATAAGTCGTTCAATGAATTGTTAACACAAGTAGCCGAACTGGACCAGATTTATGCCGATACACATACTAAGTTGGTACAGGCCGCACTTGAGCAGAATACAACTGATCAATCAATGGACATTGATGTCTGTGACAATCAGACGTATACTAGTTTACAGATGGCCATGAAAAATCCTATAGAATTTGTTGACGTAACGAATGACAGAAAGTACGAGGATGTATTTGTACCGAAACCAGATCCAAATCAGTCTTGTCCTTCGCCTCCGGTAACTACAAAGAGAGATGGAACGCAGGAAACGGAAGAGAGATTACCGCCTTTACCACCAAAACGTATTCGAAAAATGCCTTCCATGCCTCTTTTACCTCGTCCTATATCCTCTCCCATGACACCCGATTCTTATATCGAAGCACCAAACAAAACTTTACCCTCCTTACCCGGTACATTAACCAAGACTTCAAAACAAGGATTGTTCTCAAAATTATTTGCAAAAAAAATCAAATCAGATAAAGACACGATTTCGAATGCATCCAAAGAGAGCAATACATCTTTGAATACACCAGGGAAAGTTTCATACTTAATGAAAAATAATATACCAGATGGTACACAGTTACAAAGTCCAAGACCTAATGCTACCAGTACCACTAGTATTAAATCTCTTAGACTAGAGGGTGATGTAACACCACCTTATGGAATGGAGTTGACAGAAGCTGAACATTATGCATTATACACTGCTATGGCTCCGCATGCGACAGCATCGGAATTTGATGAAATGTCTTTCTATTATAGCCCTGTAGAGGGTGGGAAAATTTTCCTTGACAAGAAGGAAACATAATTTGTTTTCATACTTATGATGTTTGCTAGCGTACTTCCATTTAAGAGTGATGTGTTTCTTTTCCGGAATAGTATCGTAGAAGAAAACTGATATATTTTAAGAGATTAAACATTATTGTGATTGTTGAAAGGCTGCTTCTTTGCAGTTGTGACTTTGAATTTTGGCAGCTTTAGTGTGTAACACTATTTGTGAAAAAGAAAAAGTCGACGGTATTTTTGATTAAATACGCGACAAGCTTTTGTTATGCTACACGTTAACCAAAAACGCTTTGAAGCGAATTTGACACTATTCTAGTCGGGATACAAATTGTTTTTTTTTCTTTTTCAATTGTCTTTCATGTGTATCCTATAAGATAGCTGAAGTATACACTCAGCTAAAACTTGTTGTTTATTACCAAAGAGTTTAGTGTTCCTTTAGTCAAATTTTATGGTATTACTATTTCTTATATTCTACAGATAAGCATACATATTGCTTTTGACTATTTATGACACTTTTGTTAAGTTTTTTTATGGTGTCTCAAATTTATATGCATCACTTTGTTTCTAGTCTTAGAATAGGCATTTAATTTATAGTTTTTATTTGTTTTTAACAACTCACAGACTTTCTAATTCAAAAGTGTGATATTTAATAGCGAAAAAAAGATTTTGCGGGAACCCGTAAAATCATTTTATCTACAGAGAAAATTAATGAAATGTTTGATAAATCACGTCCTTAATGTACAATCATTTATAGATGATCCTGATTCGTTAAGGCGAAAGAGACAAAAGTTTAATAACAGCCCAAATGCGCTAGTTTTGAGGCATGTACAGGCAGAAGCTGAGAAGCGTGAGTATTTTTATAAAATTGTCTACAATTCTACAGCTTTGCCGGGAGTGGGTTTAAACGATGCCATTGGCATTCCTACATCTTCAAAACTTTTCATAGTACATTGTACTATACCCATGCGAAATTACTGGCTCTACTTCTTTATATTTCAACTAATTTACATATATTGATATTTACACTATTCTCTACAAAAATTGAAAAGAGAACGTGTAATAAGCTGTTGCAATGATGCCAGGAATAAAATACCATTTTGTGCATTTCAACGGGGTCTGTGAGCCCTATTTGTTGTAATGATTGTTGTAACGAATATAGAAAATTTATTGGAAGTTCTAGAGGTTTGGAATATTTGTACATTTAGAACAATGTTTACGGTATTTTTACGAATTGCGAATTTAAATTTGTCAAGATATCACATGTTTTAGCGCTCTCAAATCATGTCATATACTAACCATATGATTAATCCAGTTCTTTTACATCATGGAAATACTTCAAACTTTTAATGTTTTGTATATTTATTGTTGAACATTGTGTCTAATAGTGCCTAATAGTCTGAAAAGTGAGGAAAAAAAACCAAACAATTTCCATTGTGTAAAGGGAGATTTTTCATGGATCAGAACCTTCATTGTATTAAGAAATATTATATTCATATATATAATATATATATATATATATACATATATATTTTCACGCACTGACGAAAAATCTTGTTTTATACTTTTCTAAGAACGTATTTTGTATAAACATTTGAAATTTGTACTTGAATGATTGGAGGGCAGTGACCTTGTACAATTATAAAGTATATTGTATTTTTGTAGTTACTATCAATAAGTGCTTGAATGGATACTATTTTTTTTATATCCATTGACATGCTGACAGAAGCACATTGTTAATAATGAACTGAACATGTTATAAAAATTCACTGTACAGTTTGAAGTTTAATACTATACAAGTACTCTGCTCTCGTATTACAATGTTGTACTTAAGATACTCAGCATTACAATAATAGGAACGAAAATAATGTGCAATATTTGTATGGCAATACAGATTTTTATAAACTGCTTCTTTTAAAGATAAACATTATATCTATATATTGTACAATACATATACATAATATATTTATCTATATACATGTACAATTACTTATTCTGCTTTTTATTCTGCTCCCAATCAATTTCAGATTAAAAAGATATATAAAAAGTTTACAGGTACGACATAATCTTTGGTCATAATTTAGTTTGTTGACATTTGCTAATCTTATTAATTGTATTTTTTATTATGATACAAGACACAGAGTGACGTTTGGAGTGAAAATATATAAAATTGTATGCACTTTGTTAACTAATCTTATAAAACTATGCTTTTAATAAGCTTTTGCTTAATCATTAATTCATATTAATACATCTCTTTTTTGTATGTGTTTTTATTTTGCAACTTTTATGCGCATGTTGATTGTTAAGTGTATTTTGTTATCGTTACTTATAAGTACTTTGCACGCTAATTAATATAATGTCGAATGGTTTGTCTTTGGATTATTTTTGTTGGTAGATGTATTATTTGTTTTGTCGTGATTGTAGATGCTGCGATATTAAACCAACCAATTCAGTACAACTTTAATATTATAAAACCAGAACCAATGGATAGGATATCCCCTTATGGAGGCCAAGTGGCAAGTGGAGGATCCTTTCCAATGTATTCTATAGGAAATCCTCAACCACAGCCTACTATGCAAACTCTGAGGTAAGTTAAAATTTTCACAAACATACCTCTTATAAAATAAATTAATTTTCAAAATAATGGATTAAAAAAAAACTTCAATTGTACCATGTAGGCCTCAAGTATCACCAGGTCGCACTCCATCGCCTATAGAATACAGTCCATACAATCCAACTCTTATTCAATCACAATTGTCACCACAGTATCATCCAACAAGCAGTCAAGTTGTACAACAACTTTCAATCAACGCCCACGCACAACAATATCCATACCTACAGAATACATTACAACCCCAAGAGCAATTACTGTTAAACAGAACAACATCCAACTATCCAGAATTGCATACATTGGACAATGCTGGTAATATAAGTAAACTTTATATACATTATGGTATCAATGGATTGCTTTTAATCTTAAAATATTGCTTCACATGTTTTTGTATTTTTAGTAGGTGGAGTGAAAGGAACAGATGTCACAAGTGTTTTAGACATGGACAGTCAGCAATACAATTTTGACCCGAGTTTCAATCAGCTTAGTTCGATGGAGTTCGATGATTTCGGTACACATTTGTCCGAAAATCTATCCAGTGGATTATCCATCTCGGATTCTACTAAGGTAATACATCGGTATAAGCTAATTTAACACTAATGTATAAATAAGAAACTAAAGTAATCTTTAAATTTAGGTGGAACCAAACATTGGAGCGAATGCAGAAGCGAACAACGTTGAAGAAACTAACAACATGACCGACAGTTTTACAAGAATTACTAACAACACTATTCAAGAGCTGTGCACTTTAAATAATTTGTACAAACCAACGTAAAGGAAATGAACGACTAGAAAAAGTCTTAAATTTTATTAATCTAAAAATAACAATATGAAAAATACGTTGTATAAATGTTGTTCTTCACATGAAAATTCCTTTAAATTCATATACTGTGAATATAATTAATATTTAATTGGTTGTGATTATGCCACAGTACATTACTGTAAAACATTAACAATCACTTTACGTAATCTTATAGAATGTCTCGCCAAGTGATCATTAATTTTAAACACAGTTGATATTTTTTGTATGAATTCCAAAAAAAAAGATGTTTTTAATATCACAGATTAAAAATATTTACGAATATAAGTGATATGTAAAATGCTGTGACTGTGATCAAAGTGTACGATAATCTACATGCGTGCAAATAGTCTCAATAAGAATTATTCTTATACATGAAATAAAACTCATGACGAACAAAGTACAGTGTATACTGTAAGACAATCTGCATGCAATATTCGTACAAAGTATAATTTTTTAAGTAATAATAAACACCCGCGCACAATTTATTTGTTTTACGCATCTCATACGCTTACATGCAATGTTTAACTCTTTGTTTTTTACGCATTTACGTCTGCTACAAACTTGTTTGTAAATATATTTCTTTTGTATTGGAAGTAGTATACAAACATGATACTCTTGCTTCCATTTATATGTACATTCGATTTAAAAAAAATTCCAATACACGTTCCATCCAGGTACGTTCATTTATACTTTAATAAATTTCTACCTTTAACTTTAGAATTATATAATTTACAATTTAAATAGGAAAAAAGAGTGTTTCACTATTGGATTTTATATATATATATATAAACACTCACACGCACACACAATACTTGCGACTGTAATACTTCGGTGTCATAAAATATCATCTTGGAATTATTATCACACAAATTATTTTATAAATAAACAATACTTAATATTAAATGTGGTTACAAATAAGTATATAATCTTAATTACATATAGAAGTGTATCTAAAAGTACATTGTAATTTATATACAATTACATATGTAAATAAATATGGACATTGAAATTCAAGTGTTTAATTCAGTATATCACACATCTCATTACGTACATCATATTTTATTGTAAATTGGTTTTCAATATTTACACAACATTGCTACACATAGTTTCTTAATTTCTATGTATGTACAAAGTAAAAACATTTTCTAAATATTAAATTATCACTTAAAAAAGAATGAGTTATGCAATGATCATAAATAATAAATATAGGGAAGAGACGCGCTTCCTTCACAATCTCGTGAAGAATAAAAAAACATCTGTGTTGTTTTCCAAAATGTATTTACTTAAAAATACAATGAAAGTTCAATTCTGATGGAATGGGCAGAAATATAGTCTGTGGTATCGGTATTACTGTTACGTCGAGAGTGATGATGCAATGGTATCCTGTACAAAAGTAGTTTGAACAAGACTCATGAACACACAAACCAAATTCTTAGCCTAGGATTTCTTCGTTTACGTTTACTTCGTGACACATTTTTTTTTCATTCACCAGATTTTCATTAAAATTCTTAGATTCCCTTTATTCTTTTTTCCAACTTTTCTTTAATGCTTACCTAACAAACGTAGGGATGTAACGGTATCTGGGCAATCAGCCTGATTGTGATTGTAAGACCCGTTAGCACCAGCAAAGAATTTTCAGAATCGCGTCAAGTACTGGAGCAGAGAATAGTTCCGTAATCTCTTGGCTCAAAGTACAAAACGCAAGTCGATTTCCATATCTTTTGGACATGTTGCAAACGGGGCTTGGTATTGTTTATTAATAAAATTAAATGGACCTATGCTTATAGTGTATGTATATTGTATACTATGAACGCTAAAGTACTCATTTTTTGCTCAGGCACCTGTACTTTAAGATAGTTCTTTGTCAACAATGATCGTCAAGGTACTATCTTGAAGTGTACACGTGAAAATACAGCAGCAGATTGTGTATAAAATCGTAGATTAACAGAGTCATCTTGGAGATGGTATGGTCTGTAAACACACAGTACAATAATTCTTATATATTATTATACCTTCTCTTACATATATAATTTACGGTATTCACGGATTTTCTTATTCGCTTATTTGTCATCGCAATATCGAATAAATTGAGTTTATTGTATATAAACACGTGTTACGCACACAGTCCACGCCATCTCCTCGGATTCAATCTGTAGCAGGGATTCAGTCCACGAATAGCAGTTTTACTTTTTTTTTTTTATCTTCTTTTAATACTGCCATTACTGTTAATTTGTCTTCGGATATTAAACCCATTACTACTTACGAGAACGAATCATTTTCTCTGATCTAACTGCGTTTTATTTAACTATCTCATTCGAAAATATTTGTACATTAAAACGTGGGACATCGTCTCGCATTCAAATTATCGTTACCTTTATTTATTATGCAGCTATGGTACAATGGTATCGTAACCGCAATGTCTCTTCACCCTTTTGTTTTGTCTACCAATCTCCCAAACTAAGTGGTACATCATGGACATATCATTTACAACGATCCATCGACTCTAGCACGAGGAGTATCTTTCAATTGATTGCTAACCAATGAATCGTATTGTTAATGTATTAAAAATGATCAAACAGGGATTAGAGTTCTGTGGGGTATGTCATTAATAAGACATTGATCACCATATACAAGGGGAATTGTAGTAAAGAAATACTGACACTCGTTCTGTGACAATCAACAAATCATTGCTACGTGCTGTCCATGATAATGAAATTAAAATAAAACCACAGTACATAAAATCAAATGAATTACGCTCGGACGAGAGCAGTCGAATAGGGAGAGTCATTGATTTCTTCTTTTATATATATATATATATATATATGTATGTATATATATTATTAATGATGTTTTTGGAATCTCCTATATAATTTATTTTAAAATTATCACTTGACCACATAAATTTATGTGTTAAATAAATGAAATAGTTGCTTGAAAAAACTAAAAAATAATATTCTGTAATATTTGTGTCTGTACCAAAAATTCTCTCCCCACTCTATACACCAAGCCTAAAGTGTAACAACCTCTCCACATTACATTACGTTACATAATATTATATCATTAATAATAAAATGTTTCTTATTCCATAACTTTATACATACTATGTATAATTATTATGCAATGTTAAAGTCACACATTACTCATCCACACTAGCTGGCGCGAGCGCGTTATATTAACTTTAAATTCCTGTTATCTTAGATCGAACAGGAGCATGCAGCAGAATTTTTAAGACTATTAAAACTCTTTTTTAGTGTACATCGAATGTCGAGAGATGTCCTTCCTGTTTTCTTTCTTTTTTTTTATATGAATTTATTTGCTATTTTTGTTGCCTTACGCATCACTTCATTCATTTTATCTCTTATTTTTCTTTTTCGTTAAACTGCTCGCGCTCCTGCAGTCATTGCAAATACACGTTATAGGTCAAAAAAGAAAAAATCGATCATGCGCACAAGGTGAGAGACATTCGTCGAACTACAAACGTAAATTTGATTTCAAATGTAAAAAAAAATCATCACCCACAATTGTTCATTTTACACTATTTAAATACAATAGAGCTTTTTTTTATATCTTAAATAAGTTTTCGTTATAAAACTGTCCCGCGAAGAAAGCCAGATGACGGCAAATACCAGTTAGTAAGGTGGTTTGGGTAAAACGATATATCCGGCATAGGAATACGTACAATGGCAATGTATAAAACGTTACGATTACGACTTGGGTATTAAACGAAATCGACGTTCACTATTCCTCACGACAAATATATTGTTTTCATTCAAACTACCTTACAGTATTTGGTGATGGCTAGACGACCAGAATTGCGAAGAGCCAAGACAGTAGAATTGCGGCTGCCTCTAATGTGTGTCAGCCCACCACAACTCCGGTGAGGTGGTAATCTTTACTTGTAGGTCGGGAGGCAATAGGGTTCGGGCACGATGGATAATCAACATTGCTACCAACCACTCAATATGAGAGTAAGTGTTTGCTGAGAAGACCTGCCGAAGATCGACGACGATGCCATGTGCCTACCTCCCTTCTTACTTACATACTCCTTTCCCTTTTTCATTATGCGTCTTCCTCATCGTCTTCTACTTCCCCCTCTACTTCACCTTCTGCATCATCTTCCTCTTCATCTATAAACACAAAGATTTGATTCATACACAACTTCCTCCGCGTACAGATTACACTATTTATATTACTGTATCTAAATCCATACACGCCTTTATTGATACATAGAAACGTAATATACACTAGAAAATCTTCTGTTTACCTTCGCCCTCTTCTATGTCTTCTTCACCTTCTGGTATATCGTCATCTTCATCGTCTTCTTCCCCATCACCGTCAACTTCTTCCTCTTCTTCGACTTCTTCAATGTCCTCCTCTTCTACTTCTCCATCACCATTTTCTTCCTTCTTTTGTTTCTTCGTTTCGTCGTTCTTCTCCTAAAATAAAATAAATTACGAGTGAATAACAAATGATAATACTTCGGATTTGAAAAAAATCAAATTTTATTATTATATATTTCTACTTATATATGTATTTTATATTTGAAAGAACGGTAGAATTTTCAAGCGATAAGGGGAAACGTAAGTACGGCCGAACGATAAGGTGGAAGGGGAAACGGACGAAGAGGATTCCCTTCCCGCCAAGAAACCTAAGGATACGGAAAGAAACTGGAGGGGACTTTCCGTTAAAATATGGCGAAACAGGAAGACGCTAAGAACGATGGAATTCTTTAGTGGAAGGGAACCATGAAATATGACTATGGTAATATTAAAAACAATAAAAAATGTGTTTATTGATTCATAACTTGTACGTTCATATACGTTTAATATCTGATTTATTTTTAAACGTAGTATCTCATCAAATTACGTTCGATTGAAGACAGAAAGCTGAATCTAAGAGGTTAGTATTAAATCTCAACCACAACAAACACGAGCGAAACGATAATGTTTTGCAAAGTGTAAGCTTCGCACGAGCATTGAATGTTGGCACCTTAAACTCGTGTTCACAGAGCGTTGCTCATGACCAGGGTGAATTTTCGTAATGGCATACACGCGCCGTGTGTATATCGGCGATACGAGGAAAGAGGGCATAGAAAACTCGCAGAACTGCATCATCCAATCAAAGGGACGAATCGACTAAGACTAGGTGGTGGGGGTAAACGTAGGGATTGGCAGACGCTATGATACATGTTTGTAGAAGGGATGTGTTCGTGCTGCGTAAAGCACACGAAAAGGGGAAAGAGAAGCACGAAGAAGCAGCGTGCCTGGATATATCGTGCATGGACTACACACAGCCACTGGTGAAGTTCAAAATTATTAAAAACAATCTAAATATGAAAGTTAAAGATAAATGAAAAAAGAAAATAATTAAATTTCAATAGTAATATTACAAATCATAGGCATCAAGATCGTACTGTTTCAAGGTAAAACGTTTCATATTAACATACGTCTTTATTAAACGGAATGTAATATCTCATTTCATAAACTTGATGATTAAGCATAACGTATCAATATCAATGCCAAGTTAATCTCTATAATAAAAATCAATGGTACTATCTTAACGTTACTCAAGCTATTGTAACGAAGCGTAAGCACAATACCCATCTAATAATATTCTTGTCTCGTCGTACTATAAGAAAGGACACTTGTAATTTATAAAACCGCTGTGATTCAGGATAGTACAGAGCGATTATGATACGTCCCTTTGAAACTTGATGCGCTTTTTCTTTGAACCAGAATCTGTTGGCAACTGCTACTACCGCTATATGCATTCATGGCGTTGTCGAGTAGTTTACAACGAACGGTAAGTGACAGTGACGTACAGACGTCTAGTGGTCATGAAACGACGATGCTATTTGTTATCCCACAAACACGATTACCTATCAACGTATTCCTAATCACGAGGTCTTTCCAGATAACCCAACGCTTATAACCTATTGCATAGATTCATTTCACTTCTCTTGACTCGAGTAAGTCATGAACAATCGTTATATAATTCTTCTGTAACACGTATTAATTTGATCATATTGTGCTATTAAAGACATTTTTACGTACGAATGAAATATAATCGACGCTACAGAACAGAAAACTAACAAATTTCAATAGAAATAATAATCTATGCAATAAGACAATCGATAAAGTAGATTAAATATATTAACAGTAACATAAGATCCATATTTCTGCTTTCCATAAAAAAAAAATATATTCATTTTTTATTGCAATAAATTAAAGAATGTTATGTCTCGTATAAGGTCACAATATTGAACAAATACATTGAGATCTCCAGTGTTATTTGAAATTCCCGCCTTTTTCCCGTCTTCCATATTCGCCTCCACCATAGTGTCCGTGAGTTGTAAATAACATTCATCATATTTGCTACGTAACTACATAATCAGAGCGCAACGGTAACGTATCAAATCAGAATGAAAGCAAATTTTATGTAGGATAAACACTCGTATTTACTGCAATCGGCACGAAGCGTGAAAAAAAAGAAGAACAAACAGGTATTATCAAATTTTCTTATCTCCGAATTGATAAATGAACAAACGTGACTAGGTATAGTAATAAAATAATAACGTATCAATCTAATATAAGAAGCACGTATAATTATGGTTTCCACGTGACATACAATTCTTGCTGGGCGAAGACACCACCACCACAGGCCTTTCTACCAATGTGAACGGAAACTATCGAAGATACCGACATTTTAGGCTAAGAATTTCACCTTGTAACTTCCATGGAAACAGTCGTAACGATGTATTATCGACTAAAAATAAGCAGCTCCCTATCACGACGCCGAATGGTGGTCGGTCGGTCCGATTCAAGATGAAAAATCGCCACGATGTTTTCTCGAAGGTTTGTAACACTACGCGGCATACTACGAAAGACAGGGAAGCAGGAGAGGTACGGGTATATAATACATGGCGTTAGCTGCTGGCTGCGCGCGTGGGGTTTTCGATGGAAAGAGAGAACCAAACGCGGGCAAAAGACGCGGGCAGGGAGACACGGTGCGACAGAGAGAGAGAGAGAGAAAAGTAAAGCGAGAAAGGAAGCCTTCGGGGACGGTGTTTATGCACGCAGATCGGTAAACAATTTTAGAGCAACACGTCGACCTGAAAGAGATATGTGTTAGTCTATCGATCGTCCGTCAGACACGATTAACCCTCTTACAACGAATTATCGATCAATTACGACAAAGAGAGAGTGAGAGAGAAAAGGCGCGAGAAAGAACGAGAAGAGATGAGAGGAAGGAAGGAGAAGATGGAACGAGTAAGGGAGAAAGCACAATGAACGCGGGCTTGGTTTCAGGCGCCATAATGGAAACCCACAGAGCGGTGGCGGTAGCAACGGCGGTCGGAAAAATGCGCGGGATGCTCGCTTTTCCTACCTATAACTGTAATACTCAAAGTAAAAAATGGCGTCCATTATGTAGAGAGACCGACCGAGCAATGTAAATTATATTTAGAGCGATATTTACTTGAAACACTGCGTATAAGTAAAGAACATTTAATACGAAACCGTACGAAATGAGCACATGGCGCTAGTAGCCAAGATCCCGCCTGATTAATATGTTTATTTTAACAAAATACAACTAATCAATTGTAAATTCTGATGTTAGCCAGAAACATTAAATTCAGATCGGTAATTATAGACGACATTGTAACAACAGGGGTGATCAACCGAACTATCGTGCTCGTGGGAGCCACGCGAAATATGATGGCGTCCCTTGGCGCTCGATCAGGAAAACATTACGATTGTGTACATTCCTGTCCTGTTTACAGGGGGGGAAATTGATACAATTGTGTTTCTTGATGTTATGAAAATATAGAGCCTAATGAAAATGCCGGCCGGCATCCTTTTCTCTTCCATGCCGTCAGTCGGTTGAAACGGCCACTCGACTGCCCGCCCACCGAATTGTTCACGAGACTTACAACGATATTGCGTGCACAATTCAGAAACTGATTTTGATTGGGAACGCAATAGGAATCTATAAATACATTTCACGAATTGGGAAAATTCATTGGAAGAAAATTCATGATTACAGAATTTTCAATTCGCTTATATAAATATGAATCCAAAATTGTAGACAATAACCGTGACCGAAGCAGCGTGGCGCGGAAGCATGGTGCAAGCCGGCATGTACGTGCTTTTCGTGTGTATGCGTATGCTTACGTAGAATCATGATAAAGTATCAAGAATACTGTACGATGAAAAATTAGGTGGGAAAAAAGTACTACAACTCACCTCGGCCGGCCTCTTCATTCCTTTGATCTCACACTTCGCGTCTCCGGAAGCCTTGTCGTTCTCAGTCACCTTCTCTACGGCGACCTCGTTGTTTTCTTTGCTGCTCATGGTGAATAGATGCGTTGGGCAAGATGCCTGAGTGGTCTTCTTATAAACGGTGGAAAAGATAGAGCGATGTGTACACGTAACAAAACTCTGTCCTCGCGCGGCGTCGGTTTCCGGCGAAATGCCCGAGAGAGCAGCGTCGTCAGGCGAAAACCCAAGGGGCAGAGGGGGGAAAGAGAGAAGGGGAAGGAGGGTGAGACTGAGTCGAACTAGTCACGAGTGGAGAGTGCCGAGTACTGACGACTGTGGCGCGAATAGCGCAAAGCGGACTACTACCCGGTCTCGGTTCGCTCCTAGCACATCCAACCTGGCTTTGTTCAAAAATGAAGATGGCGCGGGTTTGAAACTCGATAAATGCCTGATTGGTTGAAATCATAATATTATATTTCGACCTACTACTGCACCTAAATTGAAAGGTTATAACACTAAATAATCTTCTATTATTTCTTGTAAAAGATTCTCACCTAATCCATCCATATGACGTATAAATAAAATTAAATCCTGCGGAGGACGAGGGGTTCGAGAGTTCGTAGCCTGAGTTTGCCGTCTGGTTCGAGGCTATGTCACTGAATTCAAATAAGCTGTGACGCTACCAAACATTAATATTATTTTGAATGTCATTTTAATAAAAAATCAATGAATACGCTATATAAAACAACAATCTTATATAACACAATATAATTATTTTTATATATATTCAGAATTATAAGCATATATTCGATATGACCTACTATGGACATCATGGCGGGAATTATCCTGTAGGTAAAAGAGTGACTTTTTGAATTACGCAGACGCACACCTGTCACCCAAAATTCAACGCTGAATATACTAATTAATACTTCCTCAATTTGTAACATTTTCATATACTTAAAATAAGCTACGTTCTTGTAAAAAATGTAGCAATTTTCTTTTTTCGAAATAAATTAAAGCTGAATAAATTACGTAATAATTGCTACTTAGCTTCATAATGAGACAATAAAGAGTGAAGGTAAAAGAATTTTGCTCTTAATATTCTATATTTATCCTTTTGCACGTTTGCGTATGATTGTTTCAATTTTTATATAGTTTTAGATGCGTATGTATTATGTTATTTAAATAAGTAATAATTTATAAATCATATGCAAACAGAAGTAATAGAATTATACAATATAATTGATATTATTGATTTCATGTCTTATATATTAAACCAATTTTGATCCTAGCTGTTAATGGCGTATATGCAATCGAAATTTTACGTTTAAAGCTATTAAAAACAATCATATCTATTTTTATGATGATTTCATGCAAAATGAATTTTACGAAACAGTATCATATTAAGCATTGTGCTAATATTTATATTTTTAAGTAAAAAACAGCATTAAATTTATGATTTTTATACAGCGTATGCCCTGCGCACATGCGCAAACATGTATACATGCCAGTTTCCGGTTAGAGTATATTTCCTTTCCTTTCTAATCATCCAAGATGGTAGGTAAAGTTTTAAGTGAAAATATGTGTTGTATATCTTCGATTATGCTCGTAATCTTTAAACAATATTACTTTCAAAGCTTCATTTTATTAAAAGGTTGTCATTTCTAACATAATGAAATAAATATTTTATGCTTTTATGAAACATGAGGCAATGTTGTGTTGATGACAACATAACCTTTAAAAGTGACAAACTGTGATATTAATACAACAGTTTTTCTCTTTTATAGCGAAATAGGAAGATTATTACATTAAATTAAGCAAAAAAGGATATTTGGGAGATTATTGAAATTGTCAGTTTAAAAACTATATGTAATTTTAATCGTTGGTTTACAAACAGGTAGGATACGGCAATGTGTATTTTGAATATTTTCATCATTTCAGGTTAATGTACCGAAACAAAGACGTACTTTTTGCAAAAAGTGCAAAGTGCACAAGCCCCATAAAGTAACACAATACAAGAAAAGCAAAGAACGTCATGCATCGCAAGGTAGAAGACGTTACGATCGTAAACAACAAGGTTTTGGTGGTCAAACTAAGCCTATTTTCAGGAAGAAGGTAAGTTTTACTTTCTTAATAATTAAAAAGATAAGAATTAAGTATTATATAAAATATGAATTATGATGTTAATAATATTATCATTATGTAGGCAAAAACTACAAAAAAGATTGTCTTAAGAATGGAATGTACGGAATGCAAATACAGAAAACAAATTCCTCTTAAAAGATGTAAACATTTTGAACTGGGAGGTGACAAGAAGAGAAAGGTAAGCATACAATATTGAGTATTTGTTACAAACTTATACGGTTCATATATTAATTTAACCTTCAATATTTTTTCAGGGACAAATGATTCAGTTCTAGGGTGAAGTTATGTATATTAAATTTCTCTAATGTATTTAATAAGAAATGAAATAAATCCTTCTGAATTTGTATAGTTGTTTATTTTTTTGTTAACTGTATTTTATAATGTGAAAATATTTTATGTGCTCAATAATATTAGCATAACTAAATATTTAATCTGCTTTATTCTCACCATTATTTGTAGACTTCTGCTTAGAAACTATTTGCTGGGAATCACTGTTAATATAAACAAATAGAGACTATGTTAATATATTGGGTGATGCTATTGTTTTAATATACTTTGAAACATATGTTTAGGTTATATTCTAAAACATGTGTTAGTGGAAAATTTAACTTCAATCGTTTAAATTTGGGAACACTGATTAATACTTACTCCAATATAGATGGATCCAATCCTTCTTGTTCCATTTTTAATTTAACTGCTCCTTTTGGTACACCAAAGTGTATCATTTTTAAATATTTCTCATAACGTGGGTCTTTACTTATTGGTTGCTCATCAATCTGTACATTCTTAGGCTCATCTTCTTTATCATTGTCAGGTTCATCTATTTCTGCAGTTTTTTCTTCTTGCTTAGTACTATTATTTTCTATAACGTCTTTTGTGCTTTGATCTTGTTCTAAACTAGGGACAGATGACAGCTAAAAAGAATGGACAAACCATTTAAATGTTGTTTGTAATTTTCGTTATTTATTAAGACATAAAAAGCTTGACATACCCAAGATTCTAAAATCTCTAACGAAGCTTCAATTTTCTGAAGCTTATTTTCAAACTCAAATAGCCTTTCTTCACATGACAATGCAAATTTATTAAGGAATGTTACAGTATGTACAATAAAATGATTAATAAAAGAAATTGTTCTCTTCTGATTAATTGGAGGAACCTAATAATAGAAATGCAATATACACAGTTTAGAGAATGTGACATTTTCTAATGTGACGTATAGCTATTTAAGAAAAGAACCAAAATCCAATATGTGCACCTTTGTGTAATCGATAGTTGGTTCAATTATCGGAATTTTGTAATCATTCATTGTACGTTCTTGCGTTTATTGTCCGATTGTCAAAAATCATAAACCTTGGCTGCATCGCTCCCACGAATAACGCAAAACTCACAATAGAATGGTGTCTACTGAGAATCGAAATTTTTTGGCAGCAGGTATATACAACGCAGTTCACCAGAGTCCATAACTCCGACGCGCAGGTTGGAAGATGGTGGGGGAACGCAGCGAGCTCTCTGCTAATCGCTTTCCACTTCGTTTGGGAGTATCGCCAATCAGGGCGAAGATGCGCACTAGAGAAGCGCGAAGAACGAAAACTGGTCTTTTCGCAGTTATGGACTCTGGTGAACTGCGGTATACGCGTCTTCTCTTGTGAAACACTTCGTGGATAACATAGTCGGCGGGATATTCGAAGGTCTATTATGTCTTAAACTATTGAAAGATTTATCAATTCTAATATTAATAACAAATACTAAGTAAAATCATTCAGACTATGATTTAGACTATAATATTGCTGTAATTTTTATGTGTTTCAATCCTCTATATTAGAAGTATATATTAAATGAAATATAATAAAACAAATATTTGATCCATGATGATTTTATGGTTGAATTCTGATTGATAGATATATGTGACAATTACTGTAAGTTTAAATCCAACCTATGAGTTAATAGTGTAAACGAAATTCTGTGTAGAATAGAAAAAGTAACTTTCTGTTAATGAATTCTTTTTAATCGTATATGTTTTAAACTACTGGCAAAAACAGAATTTAATAAAGAAATTTATTTGTTATAAGTCGATAAAGCAGAATAAGCACTGATAATATGAACGAGAACTTTTTGGTGATTGTATAGGTTGGACTTGAAGATTGGATGTAACGCGGTAGGAAACGCGACTGATCTGTTGTCAGTAGAAATTAACTGTATGGATATTACCGGGAAAATAATTGTTTTTTGAAGAATGGAGTCACCACCTGACCTGGAAACTGTTTACCAGGCTGTATATTCTTTGTATAATAATTCAAATCCTTCAGGACCAGGAAAAACATCTCAATGGTTGGACGAATTACAAAAATCGGTAAATTATTTGTTAGCGGTCTTTTTGTAATCGCTCTTATGTATTTCCTGTTTTCACACATCTGTTATTTTGTATTTTTACCGCTGTATCAATTGTTAAATTATTGTTAATCTCTCGATTCGAATACGCGAAGTTCTAATTAAGAACTAAATAAATGAAACACTTTCTAACCTCACACTGTAAAATCTTATTTCTGTACTTTTATATGTTGTAACACAAAATTTCAATATAAATGGGTAACATAATGATTGTCATATTTATGTATTATTTTAGGTATTTGCATGGAAGATAGCAGATGAAATGCTGCAGCAAAAACGGGATGTTCAGTCCTGTTATTTTGCTGCACAAACAATGCGCACTAAAATACAATTGTGCTTTCAAGAATTACCTGCAGAAGCTCATATTTCTTTAAGAGATTCTTTAATGAACCACATATCCCAAATTAATGAACATACCAATTCTGCTATTGTTACACAGGTCTTTTTATAATATATTTTATATAATTTATCATTTGTATAACACATTTAGATAATCATAATAATGAGAAATATTACTATAGTTATGTCTAGCATTAGCAGATCTTGCATTACAAATGTCTACCTGGCAAAAACCAGTTGTTGATTTAATTAATAGATTTGGTGGATCAACTGCAAGTTTATGGCCATTACTTGAGTTGATGACAGTATTGCCAGAGGAAGTAAATTCAAGATCTCTTAGGTATAGAATGATGATCTTAATAATGCTTTAAGTATAATACATTAATGAAATGCTGTAAATATGTTTTTCTGTACTTACAATTAAATGTTTTGTTTAATTTAAATTGTATAGATTAGGAGCAAATCGTAGACAACATATATTACTTGAACTCAATGCAAGTGCAGATACAGTAACTGAATTTTTGGTAAGTAGTCTATGAAAGTACATAAATATTACATTTTGATCATTTTTTTTTTAATTAAAATATCATTAATCATTGTTTCATATTCAGAAATTGTGTCTAAAAAATGGTGGAGACAATGTACAAATTCGTATAACAATTATTAGATGTTTTACAAGTTGGATTGCAGTACATGCTATACCTCTTGTACCCACAAGCGATGTCATTGTATATACTCTTCAAGTAAGTCTTTTCAATAATAAAAATTCATGAGTTCGAATAAACTTTAAATGCAGTATGTATAATATATTACTTTTTAGATACTTGGAAATCATATAACTGGTTCTCAGTTACACGAGGCAGCTGCAGATTGCATATGTGTAATTCTGCAAGTTTTAGAGGAAGACAATAGTAAAAGTCGGGATAATAAGGATAGTAATGTAAATCAGGAGTTAGATATACAATTACAGCAATTACAGCTCTTCCTTTTCACTAGTGTAATGACCTTAGAACAACCATACCATTTATCTGTTGCACATGAAGATATGGACAAGTAAACTTTATTTCTTTTATGTAATTAAAAATACGGTAGATCTTCAAAATCAGCTTAGATATTTATTTAATTGTTGCGTTAATACTGTTTAGATCGATAAATTATTGCCGCATTTTTACGGAATTAGCTGAAACTTTCCTGGAAACTATGGTAAATGGCTGTGCAGGAGGAAAACAACATTATGCTATTAAAATCCTTGACCTTGTTCTAGTTTGTGTTGGACACCACGACTACGAAGTAAGTACTTTTTGTATGTATTATATTTACTACCATTTATTAGAATAATACTATTATATTTGTACTAGGTGGCACAAATAACTTTTAATCTGTGGTATCGTTTATCTGAAATTCTATATCAAAAAAATAGCGATGACCTTAACGCTGTATTTCGACCTCATATTCAGAGATTAATTGGGGCATTGTGTAGGCATTGTCAAATGGAACCAGACCATGTTAGTAATCAAAATATTTAACTTAATTTGTACGTTTTTTTATAACAATGTTACAAACATCAATTTTGCAAACAGTTGGGTCTAGTAGAAGAGGGTGCCGGTGGAGAAGAATTTGCAGATTTTAGAAATCGCGTGTCGGAACTGATAAAAGATGTAGTATTTGTAGTTGGAAGTAGCCATTGTTTCCGGCAAATGTTTGCTTCTTTAACGGGTGGTCCAGGACCCCAGGGTCAACCTAATCATATACCTACATGGGATTCAACCGAGGCGGCATTGTTTGTAATGCAAGCTGTTGCAAAAAATATTTTACCGTAAGTTCGATAAAACTGAATAAAATTTTCACGAAATATTTCTTTTACAATGTAAATCCTATAATGACGTATGATTACAGAAAAGAAAACGACGTAGTTCCAAAAGTAGTAGAGGCTATTTTAAATTTACCGGAAAATACTCACATAGCTGTTCGTCATACAAGTATTCTTCTATTAGGAGAACTTTGTGAATGGATAAATAGTCATCCTCAATCGCTAGGTAAAGTTTTGAAACGATTCTGTTGAATATTTCAGTCTTTGTTATATTATGTTTATAATCGGATATTATTGCAGAACCTGTTTTAAATTTTCTCTTGACTTGCTTAAGTCAGAAGGGTTTAGGAAGTGCTGCTTGTGGAGCATTGCTAAGTATTTGTACAGCTTGTCCATTACATATGGCATCACACTTTCCGGGGCTATTACAAATTGCACGGTCTCTTGACAATTTCGCTATTAGTAATGAAGCAGCTATTGGATTACTTAAAGGTAAAATAACTTGGATGTTTCATAGAAATATTAAAACAGAACTTTGGAAAAATATTTTTGTGTTATTTTGAAACAGGAGTTGCAATCATCATGTCTAGTTTACCGCGCGAAGAGCTTACTCAAGCTATGAAGGAGTTGTGCTGGTTCCAAGCGAGACCATTATGTGAAATTATGGAACGTAGAATTCAGATTGAAATAGGAACAAAGACTGATCCTGTGATATGGTTAGATAGATTAGCTGCTATATTTAGGCACACTGATCCTCAAATTGAAAATCCTAATGAACCTCACCCTTGCCAAAGTGCTGTAACTGAAGTAGGTTTTGCTTTTAGTAGCGCAATTTAAACTTCAACAATAATTCATTGATGTTTTACTAATGTAACTAATATTACTGTTGTACACAGATGTGGCCCATATTATCGAACGTATGCACAACATATCAACATGACGCAAAATTGATGGAAAGGTGTTGCCGTTGTTTAAGATTCGCTGTTCGTTGTGTAGGAAAACATTCCGCCCATCTACTTGAGCCACTCGTCAAACAGGTATTTCTTACTTATACAAGATACATTGTATAATTTAATTAATTTATAAATTTTCAGATCGTGCAATTATATGCAGCTCATCAACATAGTTGTTTTTTATATCTTGGTTCAATATTAGTTGACGAATATGCGATAGATACAGAATGTGTCTCAGGTTTATTAAGAATGGTGGAGGCATTTATCGGACCTACTTTCAATATCCTTCAACAGCAGGATGGGTTAAAAAATCATCCTGATACAGTAGACGATCTGTTTAGATTATGTGCAAGGTTCCTTCAAAGGGCTCCCATACCCTTTTTACATTCAGTTGTGATAGAAAGTATAATTGACTGTGCCTTGATGGCTTGTAGCTTAGACCATAGAGACGCAAATGTCTCAGTAATGAAATTCTTTTACGACCTTTTACATTGTGGTCGTAATTATGAGGTAATTTGAAAAAAAAAGGTATTACTGTATCATTTGATCATCGTATAATTTTTAATGTTTTCTTCTTGATCGTTAAGAATCGAGCGGATTATCCAATACGAAGAGAATTGGTCCAAAACATATTAAAAGAAAAAGGACAAACACTTGTCGTAAGATTACTTCATGCGTCTGTGTTTTCATTATCATCCTACATGTTATCTGACGTAGCAGATGTTTTTGTTGAACTTTCTCTAAGTAACAGAGAAGTAAGTAGAGTCTGATTATATTAATTTATCATTTTTCTATTATATAATTAAACTAATGTTTATTATCTAGTTACTATCGAAATGGTTAGAAGAAGCCATCAAAACGATGCCATCACAAAACGCAGGTGGTTCTCCTACAGCACAACCCGAACAGCTCTTTGAATTTCATAATACGGTGACGAGGTATATAATCATAATTGTTAATATTGCTTCCTTAACTATTAAAGTTTCA